CGCCACATCACCCGCCACACATTACAGCCTGCTGAGGACTCTGGGAATGCATGGAACCTCAGTGCACATGCACATCTTCCCTTTAAAAGTTCCAACTTCCCTGCTGCTCTCTCTTTACTCTCTCTCTCTCTGTCGCGCTCTCTCTCTCTCTCACTCCTCACTTCTGCTTCGCTCGCTCTCTCTTCTCCCACCTACACGCTCTCTCTGCCTCTCTATGGCGACCAGCCATTACCCCTGTTCCTCTTCTCTCTTAGTCTCCCTACTCTGCCAGCCCTATAAAAAACTAGTTAACATGTCTCATCCGCCTCTTTTCCTCTTTCTCTTCAAAAACATAACAGGCTTGCTATGTACGCTTACCTGGAAGGGTTCCAAGAAATACAGCTACAGCTCAGCTTACATGAGATCTCGTGCTGTAGAGACCACTGGCTGAGATTCATAACATCTGGGGCCTCATATATTCTTACTATACCATCTGCTGAACAGGTTGCTAACATCAGACCCATATGTTTGGGAGCAAATTTCACATCAGTAACAGATGTTCTACTATCCACTAGAGTTGTCCTCTTCACCTGAAAGGAGAAATACATACATATACATATACATATACATATACATACATACATATATATATATGTGTGATTTAAATCATATACAAAAAGAAAATGTGATTGATCTGAAATAAATGTTTCAGAATCACACAGACATCTCTGCCATTTACTAGGTGTTTATACTTCCATGAGTTACTTAAAGCTTCTCTTGGTATCTATTTCCAACGAAGCACTTTGCTTACATAAGAATCACTAGCAAATTAGTGAACTGTAACTGCTGCCTTTAAGACAGAGAAAGTCTGCCTTTAAAAATGATAATGTATTTTATGTTAGTAATCTTGCTGTGGTGTTTTGGGGGAAAAAAAAAAAAAAGCCCTAAAAGACAGGGGCACTATTAGCAGATATGGCCTGGTTGGAGGAAGTGTGTCACTGTGGGGGCAGGCGTTGAGGTCTCTTTAACTCGTTTCCCTCAGTGTGACAGTCAGTGGACTTCCTGTTGCCTGTAAGATCTAGGATGCTCAGCTATTCCTCCAACACCATGTCTGTCTGCACACTGCCTTGATGATGATGGACTGAACCTTTAAAACTGTAAGGGAGTCTCCTCAATTAAATTTTTCACTTCATAAGAGTTGTCATGGTCATGATGTCCCTTCCCAGCAATAAAAACCCTAAGTCATGAAATAGACTGGTACCCAAACCACAAAATGTTAGAATTTTTATACACATAGCTCTGTCATACAAAGCATGCTACAAGTAGTAAATCCAATGAATTAGGATTCTTTAACAGTAAACACAAGGCTTGCAACTTCTATCAACATCAGTAAAGGAATAAACAGCATAAGACAGAAAACACCTGCAAACTAGACTATTTAAGGCAGAACCAGGAGGCAAGAGAAGAAGAAAATCTCACTGCGAACATCCTTTTACAGCTCTCAAGTCTATATTACGTGATTATTAAGAAAAAAAAATTGAAAGGAAAGTAAAATACTTGACGTGATACACTTACATGAAAGGTCTTATAATCTAGTTCAATTTGTTCTTACAGATAAGGAATATGAGCAGCACACAGGCACTATTCCTGTCCAAAACCAATCATTTGATAAAGACTGAGGAAAAACTTACAGTAGCCCCACACAAGGAAAGCTCAGAGTGTAGCTCAGTGATAGTACACGAGGCCCTGGGTTCAATCCCAGGCAGTGAAACATAATTACAAATCAGAAATCTAAAATCATGTACTAGCTACTATACAAAAATCATATAAAATAGACAAGTATGCAAAATTGTGTGCAAAGCAAATCCTCTGGGTTCATCACTAGAATAATGATGGCCCAAACACCAGAGCAAACCAAGCAAGCGTGGAAGAAACTGGAGAAAATATGGAAGAAAAGATATGGAACAATGGAACAAAGGGCAGTGTTAACAGTGTGCCAGGAGCCTGGGTATCCTCAGAGGCACTACTGGTCTGACAGCTCACAGCTTTGCTTTTCTGTACAATAACAAATTTCTCACCCAGTGACTCTGTCCTCGGAGTTTATCATTTGATTCTCCTACTATTTCTTCCCAAACAGCTGCTGTTCGGTCAAAAGAACAGGAAGCCAAAACTTGTCCGAATTCAGGATGAGCCCATGTCACACGCCATACAGATCCACTATGTGTCTGGGGAATTAAAAAACAAAACTGAGTTTACTCACTTCACACATACAGTTTTACTTGAGAAAATACAGTAGAACATGAGCGTTTTTTTGTTTTTGTTTGTTTTTGTTTTTTTGATTTTTCGAGACAGGGTTTCTCTGTGTAGCTTTGGAGCCTATCCTGGCACTTGCTCTAGAGACCAGGCTGGCCTCAAACTCACAGAGATCCGCCTGCCTCTGCCTCCCGAGTGCTGGGATTAAAGGCATGCACCACCAACACCCAGCAACATGAGCGGTTTTAATTCAGAAAGATGAGAAAGATACCAACTTAACACTTAAATAAAAAGTTAATTTCAATTTTGGAAGATATTTAGGACTGTGGCCTTCTAGATCTGTTACTCTTGAAATTATTTTTTAATTTTGAATGTGTGTGCACATTTATGTGTGTGAGCGCATCTCTCTCTCTGGACTTAGAGCTCACTAATTGGCTAGACTGGGTGGCCAGCTAACTCCTGGGGACCCTTTAGTTTCTATCAGGCCAGCACTGGGATTACAAGCACATGCTGCCACACAATTTTAAATGGGTTCCAAACTTGGTTCCTAACAACTACACAGCCAGGACTTTACCAACAGAGCCACTTCTCCAGCCCCTGTAATGAAGCTATTCGAACTTATGCTAATAATGACAAAGCCAGCTGGATGTTTTTGATTGCCAATGTTTACTTGGAGACCTACTTTGTAACAGCCTGACCAATCAACTAATACTCTATTTTTCTTTTTACTTATAAAATATTTCTACAGAAAAGATCAACCTAGTCAAATTAGATTTATCAGTTTGATAACTGATAAATCTTTACAACCCAGAGACAGAAGTAGATTTGTGGTTGCCAAGGACTAGAAGAGGGAGGAATCAGAAATGACTTCTGAATTCTTTAATACAGGGTTTCTGTGTTAGATGATGAATGTTCCAGAATTAAGTAGGAGATGGGTACACAACTTTCTGAATTAAGTTGTTCTGCTGGGCAGTGGTGATGCATGCCTTTACACACAGCCTGGTCTACAAAGTAAGTTCCAATACAGTCAGAGCTGTTACACAGAGGAACGCTATCTTTAAAACACCAAAAAGAAAAAATTGTTTTTAAAAGGGGTGAATTTTGGGGCTGGAGAGATGGCTCAGAGGTTAAGAACACTGACTGCTTTTCCAGAGGTCCTGAGTTCAATTCCCAGCAACCACATGGTGGCTCGCAACCATCTGTTATGAGATCTGGTGCCCTCTTCTAGTGTACAGATATACATGGAAGCAGAATGTTGTATACATAATAAATAAATAAAATATTTTTAAGGGGGTAAATATGACAACTCAAAAAGGTACTACAGTGCTGCAAACAATTATTTAGAGTGGGCATGCAGTCAGTAATAAAGTTTCCCTAGTGTTATTCTTCTTAAGCTGCAGCTGCAGTTGTAAAGAAAGGAAGCTATGGATGAACAACCCACGTGGAGTTTATTTACCAGAAGAGGGGAGAGGATGGAGTTGGGTTGTCAGCCAACCCAAGAGGAGCCAAAGAGAGGGAGAAGGGGGGGAAGGCTGGACCTTTTAAAGGGAAGGCTGAGCATGTGCACTGAGGTTTCAAGCATGCGCATAGTCCTCACACAGGCCATAATGCGTGGCGGGTGACATGATGATGACTTAGCACATTTTCCTGTGCAGGACCGCCTGTCGTTACGGGCAGAGTCATCCAGGTGTATGTTCTTACAATCCTGGCGGCTGTTATTTATTGTAAAAGGTGGGGAATTGGATGTGGCAGGTTAGGGAAGTAGAAACAAAGAAATCTCAAGGCTGCTTCCTGTTAAGACATGGTTTCAAATAGCCCAGAGTGGCTTAGAACTCATTACCTAAGGGGGGGAGGTGTGCACGACTTTGATCCCAGCACATGAGAGGTAGAGGCATGGCCTGTAATCTGTCATAGTGGTAGAAAGAAAAGAACCAAACATTTCTAACACTGAAAAACTATAAGTCACTCAAATGACCACCAGCAGGGGACTGAATAAGCAAATGTGGCTTATCTATACATTGAGACTGCTTAGCATCATATAAAAACAATGCTGGTGTGGTGGCACATGTCTTTAATGACAGCACTTCGGAGACAGAAGGACGTGGGTCTCTCAGAGTTTGAGGACAAACTGGTCTAAGCTGAGTTCTAGGACAACAGAGAGAACCTGTCTCAAAGAAAAATCGTAAAACACAACGTGGATGAGCCTCACAACTATGCAAAGGGAAACTAGCCAGAGGCAAAGGACTATATAAGCTATTACAGTCTTGCATGATTTTCCAAGGTAGAATCCAAATAGAATTCAATCTAACAGAGTCTATCCAAACAGTATTCTCTCCAAGTCTAGCTGAGGGGACCAACAGACTTTACTGGAGAATGGATTAACACAAACACCTGTGAGTTGTCAGCTCAGCCTGGGTGACAAATCACAGAAGCTGCCACTGAGGCATGCCCACCTTCAGTCAACCTTCCACCTTGTATACACTGTAATATCCAAGACCACATGCAGCTGGAGCAGAAGGACTGGTGACTCGAATCTCACAGGAGGACCTGCAGGCTCTTCCCCATCCCCTTTTAAGAAAAACTACTAGCAGCTCTATAACCTTTACCATTAGCACTGAGTTAGCAATCATTGTGCTGTCTATTCATTTCCTTACTGTGACTACAAGGCCATGATATTCTGGAGGTCACCAGGGCAACTCAGCTTTATGATGGCAGTAGTCATGTGCGGCCTGGAGACAATGGGGCTGCTACAACATATGGTTTCATAACAAACACTTAGAAACTGCTTTTGCTAAAAATCATGGATGCCTCACAAGTCCACAAGGCAATTAAACACAGAATGAAAAACTGCCTTCATTTGCATACGTCAAACTCTTGTTGCTGTACACAGGCTAATCACTTACAGAGTGCCTGTCTAACCCATCAAGGCTAAAGCCATGGAAAGAAATCACTGTTCTCACTAAGTCTGTAGTCACCTTGGGTTATGGGAAGAGTCAACCACTAAACGACAGACCACCCCACATTAAAGAGCAATCAATCAAAAGTAAACATAAGGCTGCACCCTATAAGCAGAAGTAAACATTCTGTGAGGATCAGATTAAACCTCAAGCAATGATAGCCATAAAGACCTCTTTAGCCCAAATTACAGAACTAGAGGTGAGACAATGATTTAAACCTACAACTGATGTTAGTTTCTGAAAGTCACAGTTGGGGTCACTCAGCTACAAATCTGACACCTACAAGTGACCCCTCTGCAAGATATACTGAAACAGTAGTGGCTAAGATATTGTGGAAGAAACCAACCACTTCCAGATTGGATTTAAACCCCACTCCATAAAATATAACTCATTCCTGGCACTGCTAAAATGGCCAAGAACCTGTGACTACATAGTTCACATGCTACTATTATTCGGATAAGGGTACATAGTAATAAAAAGGCTCCTAATGGCATACTACTATACCCATAGCTGCTCAACCCACATGAGAGAAGCTGCTTTTTGCAGTAGATGGGAATTAGCACAAAGGACTGACTGAACAATGTGCAGAGGGTGAGAGAGTTTGGAGCACTCAGTCCTTAATGGGCCGTTTTCAGCAAACCCCTCCACTCAAGGATCAGGGATCTATGCAGAAGAGGTGGAAGACTGTAGGAGCCAGAGGTGATGGGAAACAACAAAGAAACAGTGTCCTCTAGCACAACAGAACTGATGCACATACAAACTCAGACTATGGCGGCATGTACAGGGCACAAACAGGGTCAAGCCAGAGGGGTCCCAGGGCTGAGAGGAGAACTGCACAGAGTTCCGCCCCTAACTAAGAAGCTATCTACAACTGATACCTTTTGGCAGAGGAAAAAAAAATCAGTTTTGTCCAATGGAATCTCACTGAGTATATCAACCACACCTCAGGGCAGGTCCCACACCCAGGAGTAGTTGGCCAACACACAAAGAACTCATGGGAATTTTGTGGGGTTTTGTTTCATTTTGCTTTCGTTTGGTATTTTGTCTTATTATCTTTTGCTTGTTTTGCATTTCATTTTTGTAGTTTAACAGGCACTGTTTTGTTTTTTTTTTTGTTTGTTTGTTGTTTTTTCCGAGACAGGGTTTCTCTGTGTAGCTTTTGGAGCTTGTCCTGGAACTGCTCTTGTAGACCAGACTGGCCTCAAACTTACAGAGATCCACCTGCCTCGGCCTCCCCAGTGCTGGGATTAAAGACATGTGCCACCACAGCCCAGCAATGGGCATTTTTTTGTGGGGGTTTGTTTTTGTTCCTTGGTTTTTGTTTGTGTTTATTTTTGTTTGAGGGAGAAAGAACATAAAATTAGGTGGCTAATGAGAAGAGGGAAAAACATGAATTATGTTGAAATCCCAGTAGCAGCAGTTACAGAATCTACAAAAATACTATTTTTCCATCCTTTGGTTTTTGAGACAAGGTCTCACTCTGTAATCCATGCTGGCCTCTAACTCATGGTAATCTCTTGCCTCAGCCTCTGGGATCTCATACCTGTCCACACCTACAAATTTTCTTATTCTCAAATTTCCTATGGCTTTAATAATAAAAAAATTTAATAAACCAGAAATTATCTTTCCAGGATACCATATCAATTTTACCATTTTCTCAAAGCTAAACAAATCATTAATACTAAAAGAGCAAACATTTCAATATCTCAAACCATGTAAAAATAAAAACTAACCTTCCAACTAGCAGTACAATGCCAATCTCCGCTTTCACTTTTATCCCAGACCTATACAGAAGAAAAAGGCAAGTGTTAGCACAAGAAAAACATCAGCTCCACAGGAAGAGGCATAAGGAAGCATTCATTCCACTGGAAATCGTGTGTTGCACTGGAGCGAGCACTAAGGAACCCAGGCAGCTGAGCTCTAACAGGTAGTCTCAACACATTCCTTTTTTGTTGTTTGTTATCGTTGTTATTGCTGTCAGTGGGGCTGAAGACTGAGCCCAGGGTCTTGTGCCTGCTAAGTGTGGTACTAACCCAGTACTGAGTAATTCCCCCAATTATGCTTGATGAAGTAACTGACTACTGAAACATTGTACATAGCAGTTTAGGTTCCTGTATCTGGTGGATCATTTTCACCAACCAACAACACATAACCTTCTTTAGTGTGTATTTTTGTTTAAAAGACAACTTATTTGATACAAACTGGCAATTTGTCAGTTTCTACAGCACAGCCAGCTCATGGTAATCATGCCTGATAGGCACTTACCTACCAGGTTTGCTAAGGTACAACACAAGTTTCTTGTGCTTCAGAACACTGAAGAGCATTTCAGTACTATCCCCTGAAAACCGTTTTAAGCTGTGAACTCACCAACATACGAACAAAAATAAATGTACAAACTGTGGCACTAAGTAAGTGGACTGTGAAAAAGAGCTTGCTTACAATACAAGTCAAATACAAAGACAGTCATGCTGTTGCAGCTAAGCTAAAAAGGTTTAACCAGGAACCCTAGGAAGTAACTGGGGAGTTACTGGACACGGTGTCATCTTAGAATAATGAGAATAGATGGCCACCCCACATGATTGGAAAAGCACAGTGGGGCCAGGCATGGTGGTGCATGCCTTTAATTCAATCATGGGAGGCAGAGGCAAGTGAATCTCTCAAGTTCCAGGCCAGCAGGGTCTGGTCTATACATAATGAGTTCCAGACTAGCTGGAGGGGAGGGGAAAGGCACAGTGAGTAATCACTTTGAGGTAACAAATAAATTTTAATGACGCAAAATAAAAAAATAGCAGCAATCAGTTCTGGAGAGATGGCTCAGTCAAGTACAGCATTGGCTGCTCTTCCACAGGACCCAGGTTCAAACTCTCAGCACCCTACAGCCTCTTCTGACCTCTAGAAGTACACAGATCTATGTCGAAACAGATCATCCATTCACATAAAACAATAAATAAATTAAACATAAAGATAACACTGATCAACTGCAAGTGAAACAAAAGCTAAAGTAAAATATTCAATAAACTACCCAAAAAAACTACAGACAACAAAGAAAGTTCCTACTTAATATATCAAAGAAATGTACTAAGGCCTGGGGATGCTCAGTAGCACCTAAGAGATCCTCAGTTCAACCCCTAGCATCACAAAGAAAAAATAACATGCCAGGTCTGGTGGTGTATATTTGCAATCCCAGCTACTCAGGAAGCTGAGGGATACAGACAAGTACAAGCCAGCCTGGGTAACTTTAGGGAGACCATGTATCAAAATTAAATAGCAAAATGAATGACAGAGCTCAGAAGCAAAGCTTTTGCCAGGCCACAGCATGTGCCAGGCCTGGGATCAATATCCAGTAACACACACAAAGCAATGATAATGCCAACCAGGGACATGATGCTATCAAATCGTTACTTTCATGACGTAAAATAAATAGTACTGGACTAAGAATGTAGCACAGTGGTAGGCAGCTTGCCTATCATATGTTGAGTCTGAGCACCAGCACACACACACACACAAAGACAAAAAGGTAAAATTGAGGATGGGAGGTGCACTTTGCCATTTCTTATCGAAATATTTCTCTCAAAATAGTCAATGCTTTATCTTTTGGAATTAGCCTAAGGAAATCATTCAAAGCATGTAAAGTACTAAATAAATGAATTTTTCACTGTGACAACCTACAAGCTTTGGGATAAACTAAAAGATCTAGTAGCAAGTGGATAATGGCCAATGAGTACAGTTGATTCAGGTAGCAAACAGCAAGTGGGTGTGTTATGCCAAGTTCGTGAGATCCCAAAACAAGACCACCAAGGAGCCAACTCACTGATGAAAGCGTATAAGGTTGAATGTTAAGTTATGAGCCTCAGCAGGGACCCTGTCCAGAAAACTGGCACAGCAGCTGCAGGGTGCCTGGCCTCAATTGAAAATGGCTTTTAAAGGAAAAAAACCACAAGCAGGGTAGTACCTGCCTTGGCTGATCAGGATTGGATAAGAGTAGGTGACCTTTGGATTCATTGACATGGGGGCTAGGGGAATTTCAAAATTGTTACTAACAGTTGCCCACAAGGACAGTTGTGGCGAGATGATGTTATTTACCAAAATTAGTCATTGCCTGACCAGCCAGATGAGGTCACTTTGTCCTGGGGTGGGCACAGTTTGGGTGCTTCTTGGAGCTGTGTATATAGCTCCTTGGCTAGAGCTAAATCAGTCTTGTGCTACGCAGGGAATTTCTCAGGGTGGCTTTTTCTGAGAATGGAGTTAACTACTCCATCCTCTTCAGTTTACCTTGCTATTAAGGTAATAACAAACATGTATGGCTAATTCAGTTAACCCTTAGGAATAATTACTAAGATAATGCAGCAATATTGAGAAAAAATCGGCATGAAAAGTTCACATATATATACACTACCAAGACATCAGAGAAGGGCCTGGAGAGATCACTCAACAGCTAACACTACTCTCTGCAGAGGACCCTGGTTCAGTTCTCAGCACCCATATGATGGGACTCACAACTGCCTGCAACTATAATTCCACAGCATCAACTCATTCTGACTTCATTCACGCACATGCACATATAAAAATAATGAACCTTATAGAATCAGCGCTGACATTCAGCTATCCCATAATGAGTCTGTGTTGACAAGATTCTTTTTTTGGGTGGGGTGAAGGTGTGACAGCTCTGCTTGTCCTGGAACTCACTATGCATACCTGGCTGGCCTGGAACTAGAGATCTACCTGCCTCTGTCTCCCAAGTGTTGGAATTAAAGGTCTGTGCAACCACCACCCAGCTTAACAAAATTCTTTAGAAGAGAGTGTAATCAGGCCTTTAATCCCAGCACTCGGAAGAGGCAAGCAGATCTCTGTGAGTTCAAGGTCAGCCTGGTCTTCAGAAGGAGCTCAAGGACAGTTAGGGCCACCAGAGAAACTCTGTCTCAAGGGGTAAAAAAAGGAAAGGAGGCCGGGCGTTGGTGGCGCATGCCTTTAATCCCAGCACTTGGGAGGCAGAGGCAGGAGGATCTCTGTTGAGTTCGAGGCCAGCCTGGTCTCCAGAGCGAGTGCCAGGATAGGCTCCAAAACTACACAGAGAAAT